AACCCAATTCAGCAAAAAACTAAAATTTTTTTTAAGAAAGCTACTTAGGTGTTACCTCCTCTATGAAATAGGCTTTCGGCCCTGTATCATGATGACCAACACATGCTCCCTAACTCCACCCCTTGTATCCAAGGCAGACATCACTAATCAATCACACTGTTCTTTCCCTCTGAGTTTCAAGGAAGACAGACTTCAGAATCCTTCAGAACAAACTGGCACTACTGGCGTTTGAAGGTTGTGCTGCACGCTGTAGGATGTCTAGCAGTACCTCGGGTCTCCTCCACCCAGATGCCTGTGGCACACGCTGCCCCCAAGCCTGCTGTGGGGCTTCCCAGGTGACGCAGCAGCAACGATTCTGCCTGCCAATGCAGGAGACACGGGTCCCATCCCTGGGTCGGGAAGGTCCCCTGGAGGAGGAAATGGCAAGCCACTCCAGTATTCTTGCCTGGGAAATGCCAAGGACAGAGGAGCCTGGAGGGCTGCAGTCCGTGGGATCACAGAGAGTCAGACATGACTCAGTGACTAAACAGCAATGCCTGCTGTGGCAGCCGTAACCGTCTCCAGGCACTGCCTGAATAGGAAATCACCCTGGCTGAAAATGACTCTCTGAACACGACCACTGATTAGAGCTAACAGAAGTTGTTTGCCATCTCAGGACCAGTTCATTTCTTCAGACTTCTTCTGATCCTTACCTGCAATGCAGGAGACCCAGGTTCAGTCCCTGGGTCAGGAAGATCCCCTGGAGAAGGGAATGGCAACCCACTCCTGTATTCTTGCCTGGAAAATTCCATGGACGGAAGAGCCTGGTGAGTTACAGTTCATGGTATCGCACAGAGTTGGACACAACTCAGGGATTACACTTACTTTACCTTTACATTCTATGATTCCATCAGTTTAGAAAACGTGAACCTCATTGCTCTTTTTCAATAAGCTAAAGGAAACAAAATTTTCTGATAAGGAAACTGAGGCACAGGGAGGTTAAGTAACTCACCCAGGCAAAGTTGAGATGCAAACCGACAGCCTGAGCCCACGCGCCCTGCCCAGCGTGGGTCTATCGCAGACGACGTAACCTGAAAATGCGGGCAATCCATAGGGCGTTCAGGAGTGTGCACTCACCAGGAAGGATGTGCCTCCAAGACATGGACAGATGAGCACTTTCGCTAAGGAAACCAATCAGGAGTAGAGCCTCACAGATAACATGAATAAAAACCCAAATTCCGCATTCAGGAAGCTTCCTAGGGTATGCGTGTGTTGAGAGATTGGGGTGAATACATACATAAATTCTAGTGCAGACATCAGCTCATTAAGGTCAGGCCAGCTTTGACCCGGGCGTTGTACTCGGGAGAAATGCCCATCCATCACATAAAGATATTTGTAGAACAATATAAATCCTACTGCAACCTCTCCCCAAATGCCAAAGGCATGAGAACATCCATTCATTACAAACTACTTTTTGATTCTTTCTATTCATCCACTTCCCCAGAGCTCCACTTTGCGTGAAATACCAGTGGTCCCTAGCAGCTCACCAAAAAAGTGCTCCAAAACCGCCTCCATCTCCAGCTTCCTGGGGTCTGTTTCTTTTTGCCACTTCCTCACCTTCAGGTCGCCTTTCCACATGTAACTTCTCTGCTTTTTTATTTTAAGTGAATCAATATAGCATTGGCTTCTTTTACTATTCCCTTCACCCGTTTTCCAGACTTCCCTGGAGGTCCAGTGGCTAAAACTCCACAGTCCCCATACAGGGGGCACAGGTTCGATCCCTGGTTAGGGAACTCAGATCCCACATGCCACAGGGCACAGACAAAAAAAAAAAAAAATAGGCTTAGTAAAGGACAAGACCGAGGAGCCTGCAAGTAGAACAAAGTTCTCTTAACGCAGAGAAGGTAAGCGGCTTTAACTTCTGTTGTGGGCAAGGAGAGTTCGGTCCTGTATGATAGAAAGTGAATGGATATAAAGAATACACCCAGACAGCATTCAACCAGATTCAGTGAAATAATATCTGCCAAAGCACTTCAAAAAGTGCAAAGCACAATATTGATATACGGCACTGGAGAAGCAGTCCCTAGAATAAGAAAAATGTGATTTTTCCGATGAATCTTGAAGAATTGATGGACTCTGGGCCTGCCGAAGGAGAGGCGATGAGTGCGTAAAAGAGAAGCAGGTCCAGCTGGCAGCGGCAGCAGTGATTCTGCGCAAGAAATGGGTGGGTGTGTTCAGAGAGCCAGGGTCAGTCTTTACACTCAAGCTTCCTAAGCTTACTTCCTGTCTGGGGCATTCTGTGACACGCTTCCAAATGGAAAACTCATTCCCGGTTGAGCTGGCCAAATATCTTGAATAAACAATGCAGAAATGATTAAGACATTTTCCAGAGGACCCCAACATTTCCTGCCTTGACAACGGGCTGGATTTGACATCAGCTAACTCAGGAGGTTAAAAATAAAATCTGTGGCCAATTCAAGCTTCCCTTCCAACGGTTTTTCAATAATCTAAGGCTGAGAGACAATACTTGGAGTGAGCTTCTTCCGACCATCTTCACATCATTCATTAGGTTGTGAGCATGGCCAAGGGGATATACCATCGGCAGCTCACTGTCCTGGACAGTGGGAATAGGAAGGAACCTGGAAACAAATGATGACTTCATTGGTCCAGCTACGGATGTTAACAGAAGAGGGTGCTTTTACTTTCTTCATCTTCTTTTCTGGCCGTGCCACACGGCATACAGGATCCTGCTTCCCCGACCAGGGATCGATCCTGTGCCCCCTGCAGTGGAGGTGCAGAGTCTGAACCACTGTACCTCCAAGGAAGTCCCAGAGAGGAGGCTTTTAAAAAAGGAAAGTTTCCAATAACATGCTAGATGACTCTGGGTTCATCAGAGGGACACGTGTTAAGCAGTGTTAAGGATCTTAAGGGGGAAAAAAAGCAAAAATATCAGCTCACATGTAAACAGTGTTTCCTGTACCCCAGCTACCTCTCTGTTTCTCCTACTCATTTCTTCCTGACAACGACCCTAAACGATGCGGGCATCTAACTCCACAGTACAGATGAAGGAACTGAAGTGGAGGAAGTCAGGTCATCTGCCCAAGGTCACACAGTAAGAGAAACAGTCAGTGTGTGTGTGCTAAGAAGCCTCCAGAGACAGTGATCAGGAGAAGATATTGGGAAAACCCCTGTGCCCCCAAGACCCTAAAAAACGCAGAAGCTGGAGCAAAACCACCACATCATACCCAGGAAGACTGGTTGTCTCATAACAAAAGGTGGAAAACCAGGGCCTGAAAAGGCGCTCTCACTCCCAGGAATCAGTCCATATTCTGGGCACGAGTTTTCTCGACTGTACAATGGGTGTCAAACTCTCTACTTCCCAAATGACAGATGATCTGGGGAAGCTCTTCCGAAGGTAATTGCATGGTTAATCCATAAATACACATATATGAAATTGTTAGTCGCTCAGTCATGTCCGACGCTTCCAGACCCCATAGACTGTTCCCCGCTAGGCTCCTCTGTCCATGGGATCCTCCAGGCAAGAATACTGGAGTGGGCTGCCATTCCCTCCTCCAGGGGATCTTCCTGCCCAAGGGATCAAACCCAAGACTCCTGCATTGTGGGCAGATTCTTTACAGTCTGAGGCACGAGGGAAGCCACACACACACACACACAAACACACTTATATATATATTTATGTGTGTGTGTGTGTGTGTTACAATTAGGAATATCTGAAGTCAGACAAATTGACTTGAATCACCACTACCAATTTTTTCTTTACCTCTCCATATACCTTTTTATTTTTTTTTTCATTTATTTTTATTAGTTGGAGGCTAATTACTTTACAATATTGTAGTGGTTTTTGTCATACATTGAAATGAATTAGCCATGGATTTACATGTATTCCCCATCCCGGTCCCCCCTCCCACCTCCCTCTCCACCCGATCCCTCTGGGTCTTCCCAGTGCACCAGGCCCGAGCACTTGTCTCATGCATCCAACCTGGGCTGGTGATCTGTTTCACCTTAGATAATACACATGTTTCGATCCACTACCAATTATTATTAGTCTTGCTGTTGTTCAGTTGCTAAATCATGTAGGGCTCTTTTCAACACTATGGACCGTAGCCTGCCAGGCTCTTCTGTCCATGGGATTTCCTGGGCAAGAATACTAGAGTGGCTTGCTATTTCCTTCTCCAGGGGATCTTTCCAACCCAGGGATTGAACCCACATCTCCTGCATGGGCAGGCAGATTCTTTAGCACTGAGCAACCAGGGAAACTCATTACGAGTCTCATCCATGGACAATGTAGATCCCTCCCTAGTTGTCAGTTTTTTTACCTGTAAAATGAGAAAAAGAATCAAAATTATCTTATGGGCTTCTGGTGAAGATTAAATAATATTAATGCATACAAGTGTAACATCCTTTGCACTATGCTTCGCACATAATAAACGCTCAATAAGTGTTAAGTAATAATAATAGCAGTAAAGAAATCATAGCTACAGCATGTATTTAGCTGTGTTTAATTACAAGATTGCAGTAGCTGTTCTGATGAAGCGGAGCATGATAACTTGGGTAAGGAATAAAATAAATATGCAAACGACAGAACTTTAACCTAATAACGTGACCACTCCCAAAGTTTAGCATATTACTGGAAATCGCTAATGGAGCACTGCCCATTATTCATGATCCGAGCAGTGAGGAATCATGCATAATGGAACAGAGCCCCTGCTAACAGCAGAGTCACGCACGATAATTTAAACTTGTTTGTATGGAAATACAGGACAATCTTTGAAGTGAGCCTTAATGAGATTCTGCTTGATCTGCGGTATATCCTGGGAGAAGGAGTTCAGTTTTTCCTCCAGCATCCGGCTCTTGTTGGTGGCGTGTAGGAAAGAAAGGGCGGGCTTGAATTATGAATGGCCCTTCATGTCTTTGTGGTAGCAGGTGGGAAGCGGGGGGCGCTTATCCGGGGGCACAGGGTGCGGGAGGAAACGGGGAGAGAGGCCCGGTTCTCGTCCAAGGTGGCTTCTGAGTCAGAGACGTTCGGAAGGGCTTGGTGGACTGGAGTCTCAGCCGTCATCCATCCTGGGAAGGAGCGCGTTGCCGGCCCCGAGAGGTCAAAATGAGCCCGGGGTCCTGGCGGGAGATGCTGCCGTGTTAACGCGGCCCCTGCGCCTTGGCAGCCCCGCCGCTGTGCCGGAGGAGACGGCCGACAGTGGGCACCGCCCAGGGGCTGCTGAGCGGGGCGCCTCCAGGGTCTGAGGAGGCCCAGTGTTTGGTCAACTGGGCCTGACCGTCAGAGGCTCCCAGGAAGCGTGTCTGTGTTTGCTGACTGTCAGCTGAAGAGTTCCTGAAATGGGTGATTTAAGAAAGTCGCGATTCAAGTGGGGGTGGGGTCTGCCTTCTGGGGGCGCGGGGACCCTGGAGGGCCGCGGGCAGGCCGGCCGCACCCGGCACATGGCAGCTGGCCATGTTCCTCCAGCATCGACTTAGAACCTGGTCGTGTCTGCAGCCCTTCAGGCTGCACTTACTGTGGCCACGCCTCTGAGGCCAGGGGAGCTTGTGGAATCCCTTCTGTGGCCTCCACACAGCCACAGCGTAACTGTCTCTGCACCGTGGTCTTCTCTTGAGATCTCAACCGATCCTCAGTCCAGCCCCATAAGGAAAAAGGCATTTTTAGTCCCATTTTGCAGATGAGAAACCTGAGGCCCGTGAGTTTCTCACCCAAGAGCACAAAGCCAGGAAGCAATGGGAACTGGGATGTCGGGGCTTTGTTTTATTATTGGAACACAGTTGCTTGACAACGTTGTGCTGATTTCTGCTGCACAACACAGGGGACCACCTGGGCTTGCACGTGTCTCCCCTCTCTCGGGAGCCTCCCTGCCCCCCCCCACCCCTCCCGGTCATCCCAGAGCCCCGGGCCGGGCTCCCAGAGCTGCAGACACCCCTCAGCAGCTGTCCATCTCACACCTGACGGCGTGCGTGCTGATGCTGCTCTCTCCATTCATCCCCCCCGTCCCCCACCGTGTCCACAAGTCCGTCCCCTACACCTGCATCTCCACTCCTTCCCTGCAATAGGTTCATCAGGACCATTTCTCTAGATCCCGTATATTTATAAATGTGTTAATGTCCAATATTTGTTTTTCTCTTCCTGACTTCCCTTAGTATAAGAGGCTCTAAGTTCATCCGCCTCCCTGGGACTCAAATTCATTCCTTTCTATGACTGAGCAATATTCCATTGTCTATATGTACCACATTTTCTTTATTAATTCTTAAAACTCTTATTCCCATTTTGCCAATGAAGCTACTGAGCTACCTATGAACTGAGTCATCAGACCAAAAGCAGGCGTCTGGTGACCGCGTGCCAGGACACAGCCCTGTGTCACTCACATGATGTGAGCACGTTTCCCTCCACGTGTCGGATGTTGTGCTCAGCTTGGGAACCCAGCAGGGAGCAAGACACATCCGGTGTCCTCCCTTGGGGAGCCGACATTCTAGAGGGGTATGTGTGTGCTAAGTCACTTCAGTCATGTCTGACTCTCTGCAACCCTATGGACTGTAGCCCACCAGGCTCCTCTGTCCATGGGGTTCTCCAGGCAAGAATACTGGAGTGGGTTACCAAGCTCTCCTCCAGGGGATCTTCCCAACCCAGAGATTGAACTCATGTCTCTTATGTTTCCTGCATTGGCAGGTGGGTTCTTTACCACGGTGCCACCTGGGAAGCTCCTTTTCTGGGGAGAGACTGGCAATGAACAATAAGCATCTGCCACAATATATGAAGAAGAAAATCAGGCAGAAGAAGGAACTAGAAAGTCAAAGATATGGGAGTTTGGTGGCTGTTTTAAATGGGACCACTAATGAAGGCTGCCAGAGGATCCCTGAACTGATATTTGATCTGAGACCTGATAAACCAGGGAAATGAGAGGAATTCATTTCAGAGAGTGGGACTGTCACATGCAAAGGCCCTGGGGCAGGAATGTGTTAGGATCATTAACATCAAGAAAACCCTTCTGCCCTAAGTGCATTAGAGGAAGTGAGTGAGTTAGAAGGGTGAATCACGCAGGGACACATCCAGCTGAACAGAATCTGTATCCTCTTCCTCTGCCCACCACACTGTTCTTCCCTCCAAAGCTGCAAAATATCAAATTCCTTCCTGATATCTGCTTTGCCTGAGGCTCCTCCCCTCTCCCAGTTTCCTCAATTCCTCCTTCCTTTATGTTTAGATGATTCCCAATGTAGAGGCTCTGGGATCCATCCTCTCTCTCTCTTTTTGACATTTTTGTTTATACTTTACCCATCACTTTTTTTTTTTTAGCTATCCTGGGTCTTGGTTGCAGCACACAAGCTTCTCTAGTTGTGGCGTGTGGGCTTAGTTGAGGCCTGTGGGATCCTAGCTCCCCAGCCAGGGATCAAACACGGCCCCCTGCATTGGAAGCACAGAGTTATAAGGCTCTGGACCACCAAGAAAGGCCCCCTGGAGTCCATTCTCTCTTTAAATGTCCACCAAGAGATGAGGAACAGAGAGGGCCTCTCTGAGAAGCATCTGTGAGAGGTACATTTTCACACTCACTGAGGTCTTCGCTGACAGAGACGCCAATCTGGGTTTGCATGGGGTGAGACCGTCACATAAAAGTGGCATCATGTGCCTGAGCCCACCAAAGCTTCCATCTCTAGGGACGTAGCGTTAAAGGATGCATTTGCACTTTTTTTTTAGTTTTATCAGAGTATAGTCGATCCCTGGGTTGGGAAGACCCTCCCACCCCGGAAGAAGAGACTGGCAAACCATCCCAGCATTCCTGGGGCTTCCCTGGTGGCTCAGATAGTAAAGACTCTGCCTGCGATGTGGGGGACCCAGATCCCATCCCTGGGTCGGGAGGATCCCCTGGAGAAGAAATGGCACCCCACTCCAGTATCCTTGCCGGGAAATCCCATGGACGGAGGGGCCTAGTGGGCTGCAGTTCACGGGGTCACAAAAGAGTCAGACACGCTGAGCAACTAAACCACCACCACCAATTTTTAAACGATGGGTTGGTACTTTTACTATTGAAGCAAACCAGCGGCAAAGTTGCTACAGGGGATGCTCATTCAGGCTTGAGTCCAGGATTTCCAGCCGCAGGTCTGAGACTCTGAGGCTCCTTAGGGCACTCTGCCGCCTCTTAGAACAGTCACCCCGGACTAAGTCCGCCATTTCCTTCTGCTGAGCAGATGCATTCTTTTCACATTTGATTACTAACCACAGTCATGAGCCAAAAAATTACAATTAAATAAAATAAACAGGTCATGGGATGAGTCTTGGAGGAAAAGGTTGTCTTTTAATACTCAAAATCTTTATTCATTTCATCTCATCTTTATGCTAAGATGCTGAGAGAACCAGATTTTTAGAACAAGTCTTCTCTTTGAGCTCAGAAAAAAAACACATTCCTTCATTTAATCTGGCCCTGGCTCCATGTCTTCTCAATGACAAATTTAAGCTAACTACCCCCAGTATCATGGGGATAGCCTTTTTTTTTCTTTCCTTTTTTAAAGAGCTGTACTGGAATTTCATCATATTGAATATAAACGGGAAAAAGTACATGGTAGAATAAAACTTAAAATGCTTTTATGGAATTTTCATTATAAGGCTGTCTGTAATGGAGTTGACCTCATATTCACCTAAGATTTCTCTGGCTCCGAGTTCAGATTTCATGCCAATTAACATGTTAATGACATATATCATTTAAAGAGCCCATCATAACTTTTATCACATCATGTTACATCTATTTCCTTGTAATTAAATCAGAATTACAGGGTGTAATTACTTTTCTTTTCCTGAATACCCATTCCTTTTCAGACATTTAAATGCAAGTACAAGTACTAAAAGACACTTGGAAGTAACAACCTCGTGAAAATATTATCAATTAATGAAAGTGTTGGGTTTCTCCTCCTATCCGGTTTCTTTTTGACAAATTCCTTTCTCCCCCTGTGCTTTGGATGACATGGAATGATTGGTCGTATCCAGTCAAATGCTTCACGAGTTTTTTAAATCCTCAAGGCCCTAGTCTTCATTAATATGCAACGTTCTCACACATAAATATAATTACATACAATTATTAGCGGAAAAGGATCAGATAAGGTTTATTAAGGAAATATCCTATAATTACCCAAGTCCAAGACTTCCCTTTACATATTAATTCAACCAAGGGTTGGAATCTGCAATCACTCCACCTGCAAAACAACTACAGACTTTGATTTGACTTTAGGAAGCTGAGATTTTAGGGCAGGACTAGAAAAGGGATACACCTTTGTTTAAAAGACCTAACCAGGATAATTCTAGAAAGACAAAAGACAGTGGCCCAGATCTGGCCACTTCTGGTCTTTCAAACCCTTCCAAACATCAAACTGAAAATTTAAATTTACATCATACTCACGTTGTCATACAGCAAAAACTCACACAACATTGTAAAGCGATTCTCCTCCAATTTAAAAAATAAAATTTTTTAAGGGACTTCCCTGCTGGTCCAGTGGTTAAGACTCTGCTCTCCCAATGGAGGGGGCATGGGTTTGATCCCTGGTTGGGGAACTAAGATCCCACATGCTACATGTCCAATAAATAAATAAAATAAATAAATAAAAATTTTAAGTGACATCATACTTAATTTTTAGGTCTCATAACTTCAAAGGATAGCTAAGAAATGCACGTAATTTACAGGCACGTGGTCTTCTATAAGCATCTGTAAGAATCTGTGGGTAGAGCTTCCAAGGGCTAACATATATGATTTGAGGAACTGGGCAATGAAAGGCGAGTGGAAAATGACTCCTTTGTGGTCAGGGTTCTACGTGTGCAGATCCATCATTCACTTGACAAGTACTAATTGAGGATCTATAGTGTGCCACGTTCTATTCTAGGCATAATCAATGAATAAGATGGTCAACGTCACTGCTACCCAGGTGCCAGCATCCTAGGGGAGGAGGACAGGCCATAAACCAGGAAACAACACAATGAATAACAGAATTACAGCTAGTGATGGGAGCCAAAAGGAAAAGATAACAGAACAAGGGGATGCGATACAAAGTGATGGTCATTGGGGTGGATGGTTTTATTTTTTAATATCTATTTGTTTATTATTTGGGCTTCCCTGGTGGCTCAGATGGGAAAGAGTCTACCTGCAATGCAGGAGACCCAGTTTTGACCCCTGGGTTCAGAAGATCCCCTGGAGAAGGAGATAGCAACCCACTCCAGTATTCTTGCCGAGACAATCCAGGGGGTCACGGGGAGTTGGATGAGACTGGGTGAGGATTCACGCCGTGCAGAGACTCGGCCCTGGATTTGGCAGGTGGACCAACAGGAGCTACTCCGCAGGCTGTGGCAGTGCATCAGGTCCCCTGCAGCTCCTGCCCATTTGCTGAACAACTGTATTCTCTCTGCCACACGCCAGAGATTGTTCCAAGCCCCAGAGATGCCAAAGGGAACAAACCAGATACCATCCCTACTCTCTCTCATGGACCTTAAATAGGGGTGAAGAAAGCATCCAACACAAAACCAAATAGCTGTATGATTCTGTGTCAGGGGATGACAGGTGTCCTAAAGAAAACTAAGATAGGGCGCGGGGATTGGGATGATAAGAGTGAAGGGAAGGGCAGCTCCTTAAGATCGGAGGCCGGGGAAAGGCCCCAGGGTGGGCAGGGTATCTGCTCAGACCTCAGTGAGTGCCATCCAGATGGGAACCAGAGGTCAGCGTGTGCCTACCTAACCCCAACACGTCACTACTGTTTTCACTGATGCCAACCCCCAGGAGAACACGGCCCCACTCCAGCTCCCCTCGAAAGGCTCCTCCCTCACCAAAGTGCCAAAGGATGAGTAACAGAGAGGGAGGTGGGCTTTCAAAAGGGGAGCCCAGAAGTGGGGTGACCTCACCCTGCACCAGCAGGAATGTGTGATTTATCAGCGTGTGATAAAGCCGCTCACGCATTCCTCTAAAACCTCAGAGGTTTCTTTTCTCCAGTCTCTGCAGGGGGCCCACAGCTTTCTTCTTGATTCCTTTTGTCCGCACCAACACCCAGTCCTGATTTCTCTACTAAACGAAGCAATTCAGCTCAGCCCCAATTTCTCCCACAAACACTCCTGCACACTCAGCAAAACAGGGCTTTCTTTGGAAAGGCTAGTGCTGACCATTGTTGCCCACAGGAGACCTCATGTTCCCCACTCCTATCCCAAGTGGCTCAACGCAGTATCTCTCCTTAGAACACTTGCTGAGGAAAATTCTGGTGAACGCAGCTGTCCCCTTGCAGATGGGTTGTGGAACACTCACCCCTGCAAGCTCCCTCACACTCAGCCCAGGACGGGAAATTCCTGTCCATGGTGTCTCTTCCCTGTCTGTGGCTTCCTGTGTTTACCCTTTCTTGACGTATAATCAGGCCAAGATGAGAAAGTAGCTAAATTCTTGCCTTGCACCTATAGACTCTGGTTCAGGCAGAGGCTGGTGAACTATGGAGATCCAAGAAGAAGTTGTGCTGAAACACAACCCCACCCCTTTCTCAGAAGGTGGCCCGTGGTGATTTGGGCTGAAATGCAGAACATCACTCCCCAGCATGAAAGCAGCCACATGCGTGAGACTGGGCATGGCTGTGTTCCAACACCACTTCATTTCTAGACACTGAGATTTGAGTCTCACTGATTCTCACAAGTCACAACATATTGCTACATTTTTGTTTATTTTTTTTACCATTGATGTATGCGTGCATGCATGCATGCATGCTCAGTCATGTCCCCCTCTTTGCAACCCCATAGACTGTAGCCCCCCAGGCTCCTCTGTCCATGGGATTTCCCAGGCAAGAATACTGGAGTGGGGTGTCATTTCCTACTCCAGGGGAATCTTCCCAACCCAGGGATCAAACCCTCATCTCGTGTCTCCTGCTTTGGCAGGTGGATTCTTTACCAACTGCACCACCTGGGAAGCCAGTTAAAAAGGTGAAAACCATTCTCAGCTTTCAGGCCTCACAGAACCAAGCAGCATCCTGGATTTGGCTCAGGAGTCCTGGGTTGCTGCCCTGATGTTCGATGACGAACATCAGGCTCTCTGGGTTCTTGCCTCCATGTGGGGAAGGCAAGGCATCAGCACCCTCCAGGGGGAGGAGGCAGCCTGACCCCGCCCCTGCCCCCAGACCGCCAGAGCCTGGAGTAGCTCCTTCCACCGAACCGTCCCTGACCGTCCTGCGGCGGGAGCCCAAGCCTCCGGGGTGGGGCTGCTTGCTCACCCCAGGATCTCCAGCTTTGAGCCCCGGCCAGCACCCAGCAGACACTAAACCACATTAGTGGAGAGAAGAAACCAAGCAATGTTCAAAAGACAGCATCTTTGAGCGGTTCTCAAGCCCGTCTCCAGTATCGCTCATGCTTATGATAAGATAGAGCCATTACTTACTAGCAAAATGAATAATTAACCATTTCTCAAAGCCTGGTGGAACAGACAACAAGGAAGATTGCTGTGAGTGATATGTCTAAATGCCTTCTTAAAACACAGCCCAGAGCCCCCACTCTGCGATATTTCCATCGATCGCCAAAGGAGTTGAGGCCACTTCCGTGAGTTTGAGGAGTAGAGGAGGACCAAACTGCTCAGCTCCGGTTCTGTCTTCAGCATTTTGCAATTAAGACCTGGCCGTGTCCAAAGCACGATCTGTCATTACCTTTAATATCGAGACAGCATGCTCTGATCCACATGGAATCTGACCGCCAGGACAGCCCGAAGGTAAACCGCGTCCCATCACACCTCTCACTTTGTGCATTGTCCGGGCCAGCTGATGTCTGTTTCAGCAGAGCAGTGGGCTGTTCCCACGACAGTGCGAGGAAAGCTGATGTTCCATGAACTTCTCTGCTGGTGCCTCTTTTCCGACTGACAGCTTCACCCTGCACCCTTGGCCTGCCTGTTCATCCCAGAGATGGGGTTCCCGCTCCTCCGATTAGCTTGGGCAACGATTGGGATAATTTAGGACTTACCCCGTGTGATCATCTGTACAGTCACGACAAATAAGACATTTTAATACGAGCAGTCGCTGCATGTTTATTATATCGTACTGCTGAGAGCTGAATGCATGCCAAATGCTATAATACATGGGGGGATATGAACTCTAGAATGATGACACTAATAAGGAAATAACAAAAGGCCCAACAAATGGCATTTGTATTAAATCAATAATTCTCTTTGTTTTTTTTTTTAATTCTAATCTTTCTTCGAAAAAAAAAAATTATCTTTCTAAACAGTTGGCGATTCCTATTCTTGTTCGTCTTCCCGAACATAATTAAAGACATGTTGTGGCGTCTACTTAAGACATCAACTTTCCCAAGTCTGTCTTGTCCACTGTGTTTTAAACAAAGACACTTGTTTTGGCATTGTGCCCTTAATTAATCATCGGAGGCTTTATTGCTGCATCAAAAAAAAAAAGTGTCTCTGTTTAATGATTCATCAGAAGTCCAGTTTCTGCAAAACTTAATCAAATACAGAACCAACTTTCTAATCAGCTTAAATACTGAGAAAAAAATAATCATGCAGGCATTGTTTTTAGGATGGTATTAAATATCTGATTAAAATGTTGGAATGTGACGCCTTGCTAGTATAGTGTGCACATGCTAAGTTGCTTTGTGGGCCTGCATGCTGTCGCTTCAGTCGGGTCTGACTTCGTGGCCCTATGGACCGTAGCCCACCAAGCTCCTCTGTCCAAGGGCTTCTTTAGGCAAGAATACTGGAGTGGGCCATCATGCCCTCCTCCAGAGAACTCCCCAACCCAGGACTGAACCTGCGTCTCACGCCTCCTGCGTCGTCAGCTGGGTTCCTCACCGCGAGAGACACACGGGCTGCCCTGTTAATAGAAGTTGTTTTGGAATTCTTTCACGGGAAAGATGGAGTTCTTTCAAGAGGATGGAAGCTCTTTATTTGTTGAGAAAAAAAGAGCCTTTGGTAGCTCAGTGAATGTCATTTAGCACTGGGTCTTGCTGAGGAAGAGAGGAAGCCTTGAGAGGCCCATGTGAAAGGCGCCTGAAGAATGCTTGTCTTCATGGGGAAATTTCACGGTTCACTCTGAGAATCATCGCTGGTTAAGGCTGACTCCAGAAATGCTAAACCCGCCCTTGCTAACTCTGATCAGGCCGCGGATCCTTCCTTAGTTTCACTCTGCCTTGAAATCCTAGAATGCTTGTCCGTCAAACTTCCGCTCTCTGGGCACATCCCTGAACAGAATCCACGCAGAAGTCCTGAGGCAAGACGAAGCAAAGCGGGGCTTCCCTGGTGGTCCAGGGGTAAAGCGTCTGCCTGACGATGCAGAGGACACTGGTTGGATCCCTCGTCCGGGAAGATGCCACGGAGCAAGTCTGCGCCTGCGCATGGCTACTGGACCCGCACACTAGCGCTCAGGCGGACAGCTTCCGGGGCCCACGCGGACAGCTTCCGGGGCCGCGCGCCTGGAGCCCCGCTCTGCAACCAGACGCCCCCGCGGCGAGGAGCCCGCTCGGCCAGCGGTGAGGGGCCCGCTCCCCGCAGCCAGAGCGGAGCCCCGTCTCTCCTAAGGACGGAGCGCGCCACCGCGCAGCACGGGAGGCCCGGTGCAGCCAACGAGTACATGATAAATAACATACTAAAAAGAAAAAGCAAAGCAAACGGAGCCAGCTCTCTAAATCCCACCAAATCAGATCGAGGATTTTAAAGACAGTCTCTGTAGAAAAGCAAAATACCTGGAGAAGAAGAATCTCATTTGAATTCGGTCAGCTTAACAAAATGTAACCCTTTCTGGGCTTGCGATTTGTGAACTCCTGAAGAAGTTTTGAGCTGCTGAGCTTTTGTTGTTCTAATAACAATAACAATAACATTCCACTATTACCATCACTGCAGTGGTGGCACTAGTACGTCTGCTGTATTTGTGAGAATTCACAATGTGATGTGCTGATCACTGGTATAGTTTTGAAACTACATTAACATGAGCTGTAATTCAAGGTGCCTCCACTCAGTCGGTATGTCAGGTATTATTGCACTTGTCCTTTATGGAGCCCTCACGTTACACCAGGCAAACACACACACACGCTTGGACACTGTGTGTCACGAACCTAACACCGGCACTCAAGTCGTGTGCCTCTAGGAGCCAGGCAGAAGCGAGCGTGGCAAACTTCTGGGCGCTAGCTCAGTCCAAAGCGGGTAGGAGCTAGTCATTTCCATGTAGAAATTTGAACCCAGAGTTTCCCGTTGCCAGACCTTTTATTTTTTTTTTAATTTAAAAAAATATATATATTTATTTGACTGCTCCAGGTCTTAGCTGCACCACGCAGGATCTTCAGTCTGAGTTGCAGCATGCTGGGTCTAGTTCCCTGACCAGGGATCGAACCCGGGGACCCTGCATTGGGCATGCAGAGTCTTAGCCACTCAACTACCAGGGAAGTCCCTCAGTTTTTTTCAGAAGAAGCTATTATGTGAAAGTGTTGGCATTCCCTCCAGATTTTTCAAATGCCCAGGTAGCTCAGCTGGTAAAGAATACCCCCTTAACAAAAGTATCTTTGGGCCAAACATAGCTCTCCAGCCAACAGTTTAAGGCCTCTGCTCTCAAGCAACACTTGAGATAAAGGATATTTCTCTTCCTCTAAACGGAAAGTAAAATCATCTTTGACTTTGTCTCCACTAATAAAAGCCAGTGTTCCGTATTAACTGCACAAGTAGGTTTGGCCACCTAGAGGCAGGAGGAGGAATTCGATGACCTCAGGGACCTTCACACACCTAGGTTCTGTTCACCCAGGCACGTGTGGCCCCTCAGCCAGTGGCCTTCCCCTCTCCACAGCACTCCTCGCCTCCCCTATCAGCTGATTAACCTGACTCAATGGTCGTAAGAGGCCCAGGTGTCCCGCAGGTGCTAAGCACTGTCTGAGTAGTTCTCAGTGGACTGGTATGGTTGCTAGGCAGCCAGAAAATGTGGCTTTTCCACTGGGGTAACGCAGGAGAGAGGCTTGTGCGTCAGAGAATGGTGAAAGCTAGACAGCATGAGAGGGCGGACGTCCACGCCATCTACCCCCGCCAGAATGAGGAAGCTGACACTCCAGAGGTGGACCCCTGTACTCTAGATGGGAGACAAAATGGCTTTGCTTTTTTAAGGAGGAATTTGGCAAGAGCTGCCAAAATTCTAAGCCTTTATTCTCTTCAACCTGCAAGTTTATGGCTGGAAATTTATCTTTACCTCGATTTGTTGTTGCTGTTGTTCAGTCGCTCATGTGTCCGACTCTCTGCGGCCCCACGGACTGCAACACGCCAGGCTCCCCTGTCCTTCACTATCTCCCAGAGTTTGCGCAAATTCAGGTCCACTGCATCAGTGATGCTATCTAACCATCTCATCCTCTGTCGTCCCCTTCTCCTCCCACCTTCAATCTTTGCCAGTATCAGGATCTTTTCCAGTGAGCTGGCACTTCACATAGGTTTGCCAAAGTATTGGAGCTTCAGCTTCAGCATCAGTCCTTCCAGTGAATATTCACAGTTGATTTCCTTTGGGATGGACTGGCTGGATCTCCTTGCAGTCCAAGGGTCTTCTCCAACACCACAGTTCAAAAGCATCAGTTCTTCAGTGCTCACCCTTCTTTCTGGTCCAACCCTCACATCTGTACATGACCACTGGAAAAATCAATCTTTTGACTATGTGGACCTTTGTCGGCAAAGTGATGTCTCTGCTTTTGAATATGCTGTCTAGATTTGTCATAGCTTTTCTTTCAAGGAACAAGAGTTTAATTTCATGGCTGGGCATGTATTAATATAAGAAGGTGTGTTCATAATGATGTTGCCTCCACATGGAAGGCAGTGGTTCAAACCATAGCCTCTGGTGCCAGACCCACTAGCTTGAATCTCGGCCCTCCTGGGTACAAGCTGTGTTATCTTAGGCAAGCTGCTTCACCTCCCTGTGCCTCCGTCTTCTCTTCTAAAAATTGGGACTATCAAAATATCTATTTCATATGGTCACTAGGAGAATAAATGAATTAATACAGGTGCAGCCCTATTTAAATGTGGGATATTTTCACCCATTGAAATTGCACAAGCACTTTTCAGTTTTCCACGCCAGAAGATTCAATAAAGTCCTTCAAAACAATGAAACAATCTCTATGTGCTGGTAGAAAATAATCATAAGATTTATTATTTAACGGAAATACCAAGAGGCTACAGCATTCACCTTTGTGTTAAAAATAACATATAAATCATATTCAACAAAGAACCTGCTATTAGCCACTGGGGTAATCCTGATTTTTCCTTTTATATAAAATTTTTATTTAAAATATTAAGTAATATTTAATGTGTGAGTAAACACACACTATCTTAAACATAAATACTATGTTTATCTTGTTGTTTAGTCACTAAGTCACGGGCAACCCCATGGGCTATAGCCCACCAGAGTCCTCTGTCCGTGGAATTCTCAGGCAAGAGTACTGGAATGAGTTGCCATTTCATACTCCGGGGGATCTTCCCGTCCCAGGGATCAAACCCACGTCTCCTGTATTGGCAGACTGTTTACCACAGAGCAACCAGGGAAACCTGTGTTTATCTGTGGAGAATATTTCTGCACTGACCAGAAAGAAACACATGGGTTGGATAGAGCAGTTTTAATTTTTGTAGTGTTTGACATTTCTGCCAAGCTCTTGTGCTATTTTTTTTTTATCCAAGAATAATCTTACTTGAAAGGAAAAGCCAGGACTAAGCTCAGTGTCTGACAGCACTGGACTTTACCCCAGGGCTCAGGAGCCCGTGTTTCCACATGGACCTTTCGGCTCTACCTTACTGATGACACTGCCGCCAGCGCCCAGGTGGGGCAGGTCTGCAGGAAACCCTGATTCCACCCCTTCTGGCTGGTGACCTGACAAGAAAAGGTCGCCTCCCTGAGCCTCCCTTCCTTTTTGTTCGGTGAGCACGCACGGCTCCTCCAGGATTTTTAGAGGACTGATTGAGCAAAGGTTTGCCGGGGCGAGGACAGGGCCTGTCGTATATAAAAACAGGGGTTATTACTGCCTATGGTGGCTGATTTCCAACTACCAGCTTTACAAAGGTGGCACGAATCAAGATGTTCACTATTGTCATTTATGCAAATTAAGGAGACAACACCTAGGGAAGAAAATATCTTGCCTGTCTCTCTTCTTGTTTTTCTTCTGTCTTTAACATACCCCATTACCAAAAGCCCTTAAGGTTTCTGTTGATTACTTCCACAATAAACACATTAAAATCAGCAAAGCACCAGGTTGGCTATTGTCTAAGCTTCATCTTCTTAGTCCAGTGCACAGCTTGAGAAATGCCTGTGGGGGAAAAATTAAAATAGGCAATGATAAAATTGTCGATATTGTTGATTCTAGAGATGCAAGAGCCACAGTTCAGACAGGCGTGCCCTCCACCCTGGCCCAGGACCCACGGCCCCCTGCCACAGTTCCGGCCCCTTCTGATTCCCACCCATGCCCTCCCCCTCGTACCCCACACACGCCTCCTGGATAATGCCATCTTTATTACCCTAAAACTGTTTTTCAGATAATCTACCTATCTCTAGCTGCTTGTACAGTTGCCCCAAAATCCATGTAACGTCTTAACTCCATAATAAAAATAAGCAAAGAGAAAGTACATCATAGGAAAATAGCATGATACATATGCACGTGTGTACATATTATATATGTGTGTATATATTCTATATGTGGACATGTATGTATTCATATGTTCAGTTGCTCAGTCACGTCTGACTCTTTGTGACCCCATGGACTGTAGCCTGTCAGGCTTCTCTGTCCATGGGATTTCCCAGGCAAGAATACTGGAGTGGTTGCCATTTCAAGCAGTGTCCACACTGAGGAGTTTGCGATTTGCAGTGTAGGAGGGCTACCCTGGTGCTCATGTGAAAGGCGCGTGGGTGGAGACAGGCGGGGGCAGGAGACCGTCTAACGGCCGCCACCATCACCGTCAGCTGCAAGGGCTCAGAAGGAGAGGAGGGAGTGAAGACTCTTGGTGGCCCCGCCCCGCTGGTGCTCTGGACGTTTGCCGAAAGTCTCGGCAGTCGTCAGGGTGATGCGGCGGGTAGCACAGCCTTCAAATAGGGAAAGAACACAGGCTTCACTGACAATATCAGGGGAACTGGACCTAATAACAGTATCCAGAAAGATCTGTTAATCAGGTCGTTTCTTCCCACAGTTGTGGGATTTGATTCACCTGTCAATTTCCCCTGGTCTCTGAGCTCCCTGAGAGCCCAGCCTTTGCTCTTTCAATCTCTGTGGCATCAGGGATTAGGATATCGAGTTTGGGGACCTGACCAAATCCTGCCCATCACCTATCTGTGTAAATAAAGCGTCAGGGATGCAGCCACGCCTGGTCATGATATGTTACCCGTGGAGCCTTAGCCCTGTGATGTCAAGGTTGAGGACTCGATACAGAGACCATGTGATGTGTGAATTCTAAAGTATTTACTATCTGGCTCTTTAAGAAAAAGTTTACCATGCTCTGAGCTAACATCATGCAAAGAACATACAAATATTTATTCAACGCACAAGTGTGAATGTCAGTCATCACAGGACTTCCATTGACTGCTTTTCTGCTGACACACCCCTTGAACGGTACCCCCAAAGGTGAAACCTTTTTTCTGGGTCACACTCCTTGTCCTGATTTGTCCAGTTCGTTGGGGAACCCCTGAGCAGACTCGGGTTGGAGAGGCAGGGTGGGGAGGGCTTGAAGCCAGCGAGCTGACCCATCAGGAGCGGACGCTGTCGCAGTCTTGGTCCGGGCGCCATCTTGGGCGGGGCAGTTCCCTGGGGCGTCCTACGCGGCGCAAGACGGCACGAGACGTCACGTCGCAAGACGTCACGTCGCAAGACGTCACGTCGCAAGACGTCACGTCACAAGAGTTGCATCTCCAGCCTCCAGCCCCTAGATGGCAGTGGTGCTCCCCCTCCTCCAGGGCATGACATGCAGAAATGGCTCCCAGGAGGCAGACATCTCCCCGTTGAGAACCATGGCTCTGGAGAGAGAGTGCAGATAAAAACTAAGTACTGGGGTCTTCTTATAAATGTCCCTGAGGATAGTCCCCACATTAAAAAAGAAAAATTACTTGACAGGCATATACACAGCCTCCCTCTGTAGTGCAATCTAATTACCCACCTCAGGAAATTTCTGATGTCCAGCCTAAACCCCTTCAACTGCATTTGCCCCTCTTTTTCCTTATTCCATCATTAATGAAAAATAAAAACGAACCAGTACATAAGCTCTCCATATCAACCCTACTCCCATGACAGTCCCTTCACAGAGGAAGCTGGGGAATACACAGTACAGTCAGCCAGCCATTCAACTGCTGAGGCGCCCCTGCCAGCACTGCGTTAGGGGCTGAAATAGACAAGGAACAAGACTGACCCAGTTTCTGACCTCACAGAGCTACAATTTAGTGAATAGAACAAATTAGTAAGTAAATAATCAAAACAATATCAGTGATTGTTGAGTGTTCGATGCTATAAGAGTGAGTCATAGCAGCAAAAGAGACACAGATGTGAAGAACAGACTTTTGGACTCTGTGGGAGAAGGCGAGGGTGGGATGATTTGAGGGAATAGCATTGAAACATGTATATTGCCATGTGTGAGACAGATCACCAGTCCAGGTTCGAGGCCTGAGACAGGGCGCTCAGGGCTGGCGCCCTGGGATGACCCTGAGGCATGGGGTGGGGACGGAAGTGCGAGAGGGTTCAGGATGGGGCACCATGTACACCTGTGGCTGACTCCTGTCGATGTATGGCAAAAACCACCACAATATTGTAAAGTAATTAGCCTCCAATTAAAATTATTTTTTTAAGGGTGGGTCAAAGGGGGCTTCCCCTATGGTCCAGTGGTTAAGAATCTGCCTTGCAATGCAGGGGATGAGGGTTCGATCCCTGGTCAGGGAACAAAGATCTCACATGCTGCAGGGAAACTAAGTCCTTGTTCCACAACTAAGACCTAATGCAGCCAAATAAATAAACAAATCTTTAAAAAATGAGTCATAGGTCAATTACATCTCAATAAACCTGGAGGGAAAAAGAGTAGGTCTACCCTTAGCTAGGATGGTAAGGAAAGACCTCCCTGTGGAGGAGGTATTCAAACAGAGGCCTAAATACCACTAATGAGCAGAACCGCTGAGAGAGATGTGGGCAGAAAGGCGTGGTTTCACTGTGTTTGTGTTCTGGGATGGGTGTGGCGAGTCCTCTCTCCTGATGTCCCGTCCAAGTTTCCATCCTTCTGATGTGAGGGGAGCAGCCTCCCAGTGGTCCTCTGTTCTCTGAGCAGCTTCATGAAACAGCCCTGTTGGGACTTCCCCATTGGTCCAGTGGTTAAGACTTCGTGCTTCCAGTGGAGGGGCACAGGTTCAATCCCTGGTCAGGGAACTAAGATCCCTCATGCTGTGCAGTGCAACCAATAAATTTTAAAAAAGTAAAGAAAGAGCCCTGTCAATCAGCCTGACTCTGCCTCAGCTCTCAGGTGGATTTCCTGTGACTAGTCAGTGCCAGACCTAAGGGATCCCCCGGTTCTCCAGGAGATTAACCAGAACCTGAGGTCTTCTCCCCATGCCCACCCCACCCCAGCTCAATCCCCACAAGTCCCAGCAATGAGACAGGCACGTGGAAGGGAGTCAGTGAGGCTAGGATGGCTCAGAGGATATTCATTTGAGTGGGGAGGCCTCTGATCACTTCCACTGGCCCAGAATACAGACGTCTGGGGTCTCCTTCCTCTCTTCTCCAGCACCTCCAGTCAGTTCCTTTCTTTGTCCCAAAGGTTGAGCTACTTCCTACAATAAACCAGATCCCAGGGGTTACTTATAACATGAGAAAAATCCAGACAGGTGGAAAAGTTGTACCTAGTTGCTAGGGGAAGCCAGAAGGGAAGAATCAATGGCCTGGGGCTTCTGACAGCTTTATGAACCAGGCTGTTTTGTTCTACTTGTGATCCATCCACCCGAGATACATGGCAGGTGAGAGGGTGGACTCTGGGGTCCTATAGATGTGAGTGCAAATCAGGGCTGCCTTTACAGGCTACCAGACCTTGAGAAAACCAGGTAAACTCTTTAAGCCTTTGTTTCTTTCTCTGTGAGATGAAAAGTTCTACTTTGGACAGTTGTTATGATGATGAGAGAGAGGTATATGCTAATAATAACAATAGCATCCATCATGCATTGAGTTTCTACTCTGTACTAGGCACTGTGCTGAATTCTTTTCATAAATATTCAATCTTCACAGTGGCCCTAAGGGCAGGACCCATTTTATGGGTGAGAAGAGTGAGGCTTAGAGATGCTAACCAACATGCCCACATCTACCCACTTTGTAAGGAGCAAAGCTAGTTGATGTCACCAAGTCGCGTCTGACTCTCTGAGACCCCATGGACTGCAGCACGCCAGGCCTCCCTGTCCTTCACCACCTCCCAGAGTTTGCCCAAGTTTATGTCCATTGAGTTGGTGATGCCATCCAACCATCTCATCCTCTGTCGTCCCCTTCTCCTCCTGCCCTCAATCTTTCCCAGCATCAGGGTCTTTCCCAATGAGTCAGTTTTTCGCATCAGGTGGCCAAAGTATTGGAGCTTCAGCATAAGTCCTTCCAAAGAGAATTCAGGGTTGATTTCCTCTAGGATGGACTAGTTTGGTCTCCTTGCAGTCCCGGGGTTTCTCAAGAGTCTTGTCTAGTGCCACAGATCGAAAGCATCAGTTCTTCGGCACTCAGCCTTTTGAGCCCAAATGCTGGGCTCTTACCACTGGTCCCCTCTGCTGGGCTATCCATAAAAAATGCTGTGTTACGTGTTGTGGTTTTCATCCCAGGGGGAATAAGTGTGTGAGTGGATGGACAGAAACCTGCCCTCAAACGAGAGCAACATGAGTAGCTGCTGGGGCAGGAGGAGCGTTTCAGAGAGAGCAGCTGCTGCTCTTTGGAGGCGCCCTGTCCCAGCACCCGAGGGCAGCACTTGGCTGGCGTCCTAACGCCCGCAGCTGAGCCCAATGGCTGATGCGGTCACGCTGGGACCGTGGGCACTCCACCCTCTCTGTGTCTGCGCCCCACGTGTAAAGCAGGGATTCGCAAATTCATTCATGTGGTTCGCAGCATTTATGTATTAAGTGCCCCCTTCCCCAGTGCCTGGCACTGCTCTGTAGAGAGGTGCATAAGATGGACATAGAAAGTTAAAAAGTTAGTCACTTAATCATGTCTGACTCTTTGTGACCCCAAGAACTGTAGCCCACCAGGCTCATCCATTCCCCAGGCAAGAATATGGAGTGGGTTGCCATTCCCTTCTCCAGGGGATCTTCCCCACCCAGGGATCAAACCCAGGTCTCTCGAATTGCAGACAGACTCTTTACCAACTGAGCCACCAGGAAAGCCAAGATGGACATAAATTCTGCCCTCAAATAGCTCACCCTCTGCAACGGAAGGCAATCCAGAGAGTCAAACGTGTAACAAGGACCACACAAGAAGAATCAAGGGTCTGTGTCTGCAGGAAGGGCGGAGGGGAAGTGTCAGAATGACGTGGGGGTCAGAGAAAGCCTGGCTGAGAAAGGGGGTGGGTGAGGGTGGGCCGGGCAGGAAGCTGAGCGAGAAGTTTCCAGGCGGGGGAAACCGAGAGAAACCGGCCCAGCGTCAAGCCGGCCAATCGGGGAAAATTTCACTGACTGTGTTCCTCAGAACACCAACCCCACAAGAGGCTCCTCAGGAAAAGCTTGTGGGGTCCAATAGGCTGTGCAAATCCTGCATATCCTGTGTTTGGAGTTTGTGTTGCCCATTAGCATAAAGACAGACAGACTGACCGAGATGCTAAGTGGAGCCTGGTTCAGCCCACCACCATCTCTTCATGCAACACCTGTTGGCATTCTGCAGAGCTTTGTCTCCATGGGAACCAACCTCCAGATGTGGTTTAAACTTAGGCCCCTTTCTCTACAACGTGCAGGTTTCTTGACTCTCTGTCCCACATTGGCGCCATTCAAGCAACATTCACGGAGTGCCTCTTGCTAAGTGCCAGACACTGAGCCAGACCCAGCAGGACACGGAGCGGGGACAAGGCTGCCGCCTCCTTTTCAAGAGTCACATGGTCAACCCAAGCAGAGGTGGGCAGAGAACACAGCGGGCAGATGCTGAGGCTCCCCTGGGGGTTCAGTGACCCAGACTTTCCAGCGGACAGCTTTGGGGACCGAACGGAACAGACGTGGGAACAGACGTGTCCCAAAGCGCTGCTCTTCTCTCCTGTGACGTTTTCTGGACTCACCCATAGCAGGAGCGCACACAGAGGACTGCTACCAAACCCGAGTGCTTTTAAAAGCAAGAAGCGGGTGGCTGCTTAGAGGTCAGATGAAAGGCAAACCCGCCCAGCAGTTTGTACCCCCTCAACACCTTCCCAAGAAGGGGATTGCAAGCTTCAGGACCACCCCCAGCAGATCCAATTGCAAATGAACACCTTTGTACAGCTCCCCAGCCCCACGCAGCCCGTGAGTTAGAATGAACTGGCTTCCACCGCCATGTAAACACCATCCGCACCAACCACATCAGGCCTCCTCACTTACCACCTGCATAGGATTAGTTTTCAAAGGCTAGGCTTTCCTCTCAAAGATCTAGCGTCTAAGAACAGGATGCATTGCTGGGCAGAGAGGAAGAACAAACCTTCTTTACTGACTTGTAAAATATACTTATTTTTCAGTTCAGTTCAGCATCAGTCAGTCGCTCGGGTATATCCAGCTCTTGGTGATCCCATGGACTGTAGCCCACCAGGCTCCTCTGTCCATGAAATTCCCCAGGCAAGAAGTGGGTTGCCATTTCCTTCTCCAG